CTTGACTCCGGCGTGACTCGCGCGTTTGACTTTGGCGTGAGTATCCTTGGGTATTTCTTCAGCGTGGTGAGATCCGAGTCACATCCCCAACAATTGCCCCCCATCAGGGGGTATTCCGCGAATGCCGCCTGTTTGATCCTCGTGTGACTGACTCGGATCTGCGCGATTCCGCCTGTTTATGCGCTATTGATTATGATTGGCGCGATCTGGGTAAGTTAGTACATGTTTGGTCTCCGCGTGATCTTCGTGTCTTCAGTGGCGCGCGCAGCTTGTGTGTCGTTTGCGCGATTCTCGTCTGATCGAGATCTCCGGGGCTGGTTGTGCGTGCCGTTTTTACATTGCCCCCCATCAGTGGTATCCCGCGAGTGGCCGAGATCTCCGGGGTTGGTTGCGCGTGCCGCTTTCTTAGTTGAGATTGGTTTTGAGCGTGTTTTTTCTCCTTCGTGGGCGTGTCCTGCCCCCCAGGCGCTGTGCCGAACCTATGACGTCAGCGGCTAGTGCCTATGTTGAGTAGGTTGCCACGTGTCGGTGGATGGTTGGTCGATTTTGTCGGTCGTTTTGAAATTTGAAAAGACTCTGACAGTTGCGATTCTCGATGCAGCTTTAACCCTTCGGCTTTCCATTGTCGAGTATAAATATCTCCTCTCTGTCGAGAAGTTGGAACCCACTCTGCTTTCCGTAAAAGAAAATTTTCGTCTTTCCTTTGTACTTTCTTGCCATCTCCGGGATTCCTCTCCTTCTTCTACAACCTCGATTCCCACCTTGCTGTTGCTGACTCGAAGTATTACCATGGATAGCACCAACATCAACGAGACCGAGTTCGTGCAGGGCGAAGAAGATAATCCCTCTTCTTTTTCACGTGTTTCTACCGATCCTTCGCTGGATCTGGACGATTCTGGACACGGGGACGACGGCGGAGCCGACGGTGGCGAGGCAGTTTCGGTGACGCCATCGCTCGACGTTGATGCAGGCAGGGACCCCGATGAGGGGAAGATTGCGTCTGGGAGTGGGCAGGCAGGTGTTGGCGCGCGTGGGGTCTTGATTATTCGGCGGCCTCTCGGCGGTGCATCTGGGGTGGCTAATCTGGAGGGGCGCGAAGGGTCCGATACTCAGTCGGAGCCGCACTGCACCGCGCGTGTAACCGAGGCGATGAGTCGATTGGGCTTCCGTGGTGTGGGCGCAGCCTACACCGTCATAGACTGGGCGGAGATGTGGGGTGATCAGCCCGCGCCCAGTGACAACCTTCTCAGGGGGCCCGATCATGCGTCCATTTACGGGTACCAGACGTGATGGATATAGTGCGTGGGTTGGGTTTGCCCCCCAATTGGGAGTACGCGGTTCCCTCCGCGCGAAGCATGGTTGGAAACTGTCTCGCGGGTTGGTTTGGGGTATACACTGAGTATTGGGTGATGGGATTCAAGTTCTCCATCGACCCATTGTTATGCGCTTTGTACAGGCGCCTCAACTGTTCGGTTGGGCGTCTTTCCCCTTTACTGGTAATGCACGCGAGCTGCCTCCGACTCGCGTGCAAGAGGCTCAAAATTGAGCCAACTTACGGCTTATTCCGGAAGATTTATAAGATCAAGGAGCCTACGAAGAGGAGTGACTGCCTTTCTATCAAGCGGAGCGACAAGAGACCCGACGGTTTCGTGTACGGGTCTCCCAAGTTGAAGAAAACTTGGTTCGAGTGCTTCTTTTATGTTAAACCAGCCCCGGGGGAGTGGGCGAGTGAATTTATGGCGGAGCCGACCTTGTGGAAGAAGGGCGGCACGCATGGGTATGAATCGGACATGGCTCGATGATGAGTACGAAGCGTGCATGCTGCAGAAGTTCAACTTATACGATGGCGGAGTCCGCGAGGCTTGTTTGGAAGAACTTTTTGCCGATGGTTAGTTGTGCTTCTTTCCTTTTGCATTCTACCTTATTAACCGCCCTCTTACGGCTTATTGGCGCAGGTGTTGATTTTTCCAGTTTGGCGAGTATGATGTCGGTTGATGACATCGTGAAGGCGCCTCGCGCTGGGAAGAAGAAGGGAAAGGAGAGCGCGTGGCCCAAGAGCGCGAAGAGAAAAGAGGTTGAGCATCCTATGGTTGCAGAGAAGCCTGCGAAGGCTGCTCGCATTGTTGAGCAACCTGCGCGAGCAGTGCGGCAGCAGCCGCTGATGATTATGGAGCCCGATGCGCAAGTGGACAAGAGCGTTCGACCGGAGGGGAGCGCGGCTGGTGGCCCATCTGGGGCTACCATTCAGCAGAAGCTACCCCAGATGGCCGGTGGCGCTATTGATTACTTCCGCGACGTGCGGGTTCACACGGGCGCAGCGTGTAATGTTGCGGCCGCGAACAATGCCATCCGGGCATTGGGACCTGTTCTAAGTGTCCCGTCTCGCCTGGAGAAGTCTGATCCGCTTCAGGACCTAGCCCAAGTGCACTTCGCGGTAAGATTGTCTGAGCTTCCGTGAAGTGCGCGTGATTTTTCCCTCTCCCTTTTTTTTTGCTGAGTCTTGTGGCGTTGTGGATGCAGGGTTTGCTGGCGACCTTCCGCGCTCAACAGGAGCGAAGTGGAGAGCGCGCAAAGATGAAAGCTGAGGAATCTAAGATCGTGCAGCTTGAAGGTAAGCTGGCTGGGGCTGAGGGTCGCGCAGAGTTGGCGACTAACAAGGCCAACGATGCTTTAGAGCAGCTGGGCGTCTTGCAGAGCAAGCTGGAAGAGCAAGTGGAGGCTGTGCGCGATCGGGTCCGGGGGGAGCTGCGGGACGAGTTTGAATGGGAGAAAAAGCGTTTGGCGGAGGAGCGGGAGCAAGAGAGAAACCAACTAGAAAGAGACCATGCGGAAAAGCTGAAGCAGGCTCAAGAGGATTTTGAGAAGGAAAAGAAGGATCTGGTTCGACTTCACGATGTGGCCAAATCGGAAGCTGTGCGTGAAGCGCAGGTCGCGGTAGTTCGTCCGTTCAAATCTTCCCCTTCTTTTGGGAAAATACTGGCGGATGCGATGACCAAAGCAGTCATCGCAGTTGGCAAGAAGGTGCGGCCGGAGGTTCCGAGCTATCGGTGGAACACTCGCGGCATGGTGCAGCATGTGCAGTTTTGGCTGTGTGAGAAGAAGTCTCTGGAGTTGGATTCTGAGGATGATGAGGAGAAGGAGGAGGAGGAGGAAGAGGAGGATGAGGAAGATGAAGACGGTAAGGTGTGTAAGGAGGCTGTGGTTGGGGATGGTGGGTCTCTCGCGGAAGAGGGGGAGTCAGACGCGGCAGCGAATGAGGAGGTGGCTGTGACTACCGCTGAGAAGTCGTCATAGATTAAGTGTAGACGCGCTGCCTTGTATTTCGTTTGTTGCTATTCACGTTTAGCCTCTTTTTTTTGTCGCGTCATGTCTGTATTCGCGTGCTTGCGCGTCTTTTGCTCCCGCTTTATGAAATCCAAAGCACTTTCGATTTCGTTCCTGTGTTGGCGCGCATAACTTTTAGTTACTGCTATTTTTTGTTCGTTCGAATTGCGAAGACGCGAATAACTCTTAGCTACTGCTATTTTTTGTTCTTTCGAACTGCGAAGGCGCGAATAACTCTTAGTTATTTCTATTTTTTGTTCTTTCGAACTGTGAAGGCGCGAATAACTCTTAGTTATTGCTATTTTTTGTTCTTTCGAACTATGAAGGCGCGAATAACTCTTAGTTATTGCTATTTTTTTTTCTTTCGAACTGTGAAGGCGCGAATAACTGGGAAGTCAATATTATTGCTGATTTCTTGTGCCCATGCATGAATGTTACATCAATTTGAGCAATGATATTTTCTGAGGTTCTGCGCGTTCCATGTTCGTGGAATTTTGGTGCCCCCCAATTCGCTGAGCTTGAAGGTATTGGCGCCGACAACCTCTCGGATTAGGTACGGGCCTTCCCATGTCGAAGCGAGCTTGCCATGTTTGGGATCGGGTCGGAAGTTCCTGCGCAGCACTTGATCTCCGAGTACCAGCTTGTGCGGGACCAGCTTCGCGTTGTAGTACTTGGCTACTTGCGCTTTCGTCGCGGCTAGCTTGATGGCCACCAACTCTCGTCGTTCTTGTGCTAGCTCTAGGTCTAGCACGCGTGCTTCATCATTATCTGCCTCATTGTACGCCATGACCCGGTATGTTGGGAATGTCATCTCGATGGGTATAACTGCGTCTGTGCTGTAGGTGAGCGCGAATGGGGTTTCGCCCGTTGCCACATTGAAAGTGGTGCGATGCGCCCATAACACCGTGTTGAGCTCGTCTGCCCAGTTGCCCTTGGCTTCGTCTAGTCTCGTATGGAGGCCGTGCAAGATTGCTTTGTTGGCCGCCTCCGCTTGGCCATTGGCTTGGGGGTAGGCTACCGATGCGAACCTCGCGATGGCTCCCACTTGGTCGCAAAAGTCTATCACCTCCGCGCAGTCAAATTGTTTCCCATGATCGAAGATGAATGCATTCGAAACTCCGTAGCGGGCTAGGATATTACTTTTTAAGAAGCGAGTTACCTGATGTGCCGTTATAGAGGCTAGCGCCTCCGCCTCGATCCACTTGGTATAGTAGTCCACTGCCACAATTATGTACTTGCGTTTCCCTTTTGCTGTTGGGAATGGGCCCAGAAGGTCTACTCCCAATTGCGCGAAGGGCCATGCGCTCAGGTTGCCTTGGAATTCAGTCGACGGAAGATGATGTTGGCGAGCGTGTAGTTGACACTTATTGCATTGGTCAACGTACTTCTTCGTGTTCTTTTTCACCCGTGGCCAATAGTACCCATGTAATAGTATCATGCACTCCATACTAAGCGCACCAGCGTGCATCGCGCACATTTCTTCATGCAGGTCCCGCACCATGTTATGCGCCTCTTCTTTTCCAATGCATTTGAGGTATGCTCCGGAGTATGATCATCGGTATAATTCCAAGCCAATTAGTGTGCATCGGGCCGCTTTCTGCCTTAAGGTCCATGCTTCCTTGGCGTCTTCTGACACCACGCCGTCCTGTAAGAACCTTATGATCGGGGTTCTCCAGTCATCCTCCGTAGCCTGAGTGGTATTGACCATGGCTTCTTGGTGGGTTTCTTTCTTCCTCCTTTTGCACTGTCACCAGGCCCGTTGATTCGAAGTTTGTTGTTGTTGCCAGCTTGGATAGCGCGTCAGCGTGCATGTTTTCTTCCCTGGGTATTTGCACGTACGTCACCGCCTCGAAGGTAGTTGCTCGCTGCTTGACGCGCTCCATGTAATGCGCGAGTGAATCTTGATTGGCATCGAAGGCTCCATTCAGTTGGTTGACCGCTAATGACGAGTCGGAGAGTACTCTGATTTTCCTAGCGCCCAAGTAATTGGCAGCCGCCATTCCCGCCAAGATGGCTTCATACTCAGCAGCGTTATTTGTCTTCAGGGCTCTGAATCGGATTGCTATTTCGTGCACAACACCTGTGGGCGTGCGCACGACAACCCCTGCGCCGGCGCCATGCTTGCTCGCCGCGCCGTCTACATAAACCTCCCACACCCCTTCCGGTGCTGTTTCTAGAGTTACTCCCTCCGCGTTGAAATCTGCCAGGATTTGCGCCTTTATTGCTGGACGCGGAGCGTACTGGATGTCGTATTCTGATATCTCGACGGCCCACTTGACCATCCGCCCAGATACTTCCATTGAAGTTAGGATTTTTTAACGGGAGGTTGGTTAGGACGGTGATTCGGTGTGCCTGGAAGTATGGGCGCAATTTCTGCGCTGCGCTAACCAGTGCTAAGGCTGCTTTCTCAATTGGGGAATACCTTGTTTCCGCGCTGACCAGAGTTCGTGATGTATAGTACACCGTGCGCTCGTTCTGACCGTCTCTCTTGGATATCAGTACTGCGCTTACAGCTCTTGTTGACACGGCAAGGTACAAGAAAAGCTCTTCATTAATTTTTGGGGCAGTCAATACAGGGGGGAAACAAGATAGGCTTTGAGTTCTTGGAAGGCCGCTTCGCACTCCTCGGTCCATGCAAATCGCGCGCCGCTTTTCAGTGTCTTAAAGAATGGGGCGCACTTGTCAGCTGATCTTGGGATGAACCTTCCTAGCGTCGCTATTTTTTCATTCAGAGACTGGATCTCCAACGTGTTCCTCGGCGCGGGCAAGCCCTGGACTACGGTGATCTGCTTTGGGTCGACTTCGATGCCGCGCTTGGTGATCATGAATCCCAAGAATTTCCCGGCTTCCGCTCCGAACACGCATTTCAGCGGGTTCAGGCGGAGACTATGTTTGCGGAGCGCCTCAAATGTCTCGCGCAGGTCTTCCAGACGTGACTTCCCCGCCTTGGTTTTGACGATGAGGTCATCCACGTATGCCTCAATGTTCCGCCCCTTTTGTTGTGAAAACACCGTGTCGATCATCCTCTGGTACGTCGTGCCAGCATTCTTCAGCCCGAATGGCATTCCGACAAAACAGAAGTTTCCGAACGGTGTCATGAAGGCTGTCTTTTCTTCATCTTCGCGAGACATTGGGATTTGGTGGTACCCTGAGAACATATCCAGAAAAAACAGCGTCTCATGGTCGGCGGTGGCATCGATCAGTTGGTCAATGCGCGGCAGTGGGTAGGGGTCTCCTGGGCACACCTTGTTGATCGTTGTGTAGTCGACGCACATCCGTCAAGCCCCCGAAGACTTCTTTACCAAAACTACATTTGCCAGCCACTTCGGGTATTTTACTGGACGGATTAATCCCGCCGCCAACAGACGCGCCACCTCTTCTTCAAAGGCTTTAAGTTTGTCGCCTGTGAAGCTTCGTCGCACCTGTTGTCTTGGTTTTGCGCTAGCTGGAACCCCAAGGGAGTGTTGGGCGACTTCCCTTGGTACCCCTGGCATGTCTTCCGTGCACCATGCGAACAATTCTTTGTACTCCTTTAACAGCTTTATCAACGGTTCAATCGCGTCTCCATGGATGTGAGTTGAGACGCGTATCTTGCGCGTCGGCTCGTTTGGATCGAGGGCGACTTCAAAGTCAGAATCCATCGACTCCGGGCGAGGTTCTTCTGCCCTTGTGTCGACGATGTTGGTCTGGCTGGCCTCTCCTAGTTTTGGGACCTCCCATGATGTCACGCGCGCTTCGCCACCCCCTTCCTTAGTGGGGAATTTAAGTTTCTGGTGGCACGTTGATGGGAGAGCCATGAATTTTGCCAGGAACGGACGGCCACAGATGCCATTGTGGGGGGATTTGCAGTCGACTATCGTGAACTCGACTTGCTTCGAGACACGTGGCTCTTGGTCCCCAAGTACGACCGGGAGAGTGACCACACCAATAACTGGGACCCTTGTGCCGGAGAAACCGACCAAGTTCCCGTGGGGCGCTTGATTAGCCGCGGATCAATGTCCATTTGGTCGACTGTGCTCTTGAAAAGAATGTCTGTCGCGCTGCCTCCGTCTATCAGTAGGCGGCGACGAGCGCGGTGATGATGAGCCGATCTTCCGATGGGACCCCCCGGGGAGTTCAGCATCGTCGAAGCTCAGTTTGCACTTCTGTGGGGCCTCCGCCGCTGCACACTCTATGGCGCGGTCGCGCTTGGTTTTTTTCTTCGGGCGGTCCCCTTCTATCGTTACTACCCCAATTTCTTTTCGCACTATGTACGAGTCTGAGGCGTCGTCGTAGTCAGCTTGTGGTGGTGGCGGGGGTTCCACCGGACGCTCTGTCGGTTCCTGCGCTCCGCGAATGAACTCATTCAGCAGTCCCCTTTGTATGAGGCCTTCGATCTCGTAGCGCAATTCTCTGCAGTTTTCCGTCCAGTGACCCGTGTCCTTGTGGAATTCGCAGCGCTTCTTGGGGTCCCGCATATGCGGGAGGATCTTCATAGGTGCGGGCCAGTTGATTTTGTAACCCTTCTCGCGCAGAACATGGTAGACGTTCTTCACGAAGTCGTTGAGGGGTGTGTAGTTTGGCGGACGCCTATCTGGTGACCGCCCTCGATGGACTTGTTCTGGGGGAGGTGGTGGGCGTCTGGCGCCGCTGTGCGCTTGCATCAACTGGTCTCGCGGCACAGGGAGCTGCTTACGCGCTTGGTCTTCTTTGGGCATTTTGGCGGGTTCAAAGCGCCTGACGGAACCCGCGCCAAGCGTTTCTTCCAACGTGATGGCTTTCTTGATCTTGACCTTCAGCTCCGTTGATAGCGTGACCGGTCTCTTTGCTAGCGCTCTTTTGAGCTCCATGCTAGTGGTGGAGTCCATGAGGTGATGGGCGGTGGTTTCTGGGGTGAGATCTCTTACAGCCATTGCCACACTGGACCACCTGGCGTAGAACGCCCGCAAGCTTTCTCCGTCTTTTTGGCGGATGTCTATTAGCGCCTTGAGGTGGAGGGGCCTTCTTTTTTGTGACGCGAACTTTGTCGTGAACAAGAGTATGAACTCTTCGAACGAACGGATGATTCCATTGGGGAGGCGGTTATACTAGTCGAGGCATATCCCGGAAAATGTTGATGGGAATGTCCTGCATAGTGTCGCGTTAGAGTTGGTTTGGAGTTGCATCCGCAGGCAGAAGGTGCTGACGTGATCCTCTGGATCAGTCGTCCCATTGTAAGTCGGGAGGGTGGGTGGCGTCCCGCTTAGGTGTTCCGCCATAATCTCCGCGCACAACAGCTGATGTAGGATTTTCCTAGGCGGGTTGGGGCGGAACTGTGGGGACAGGTGCTTCTCCAAGAAGCTGAGGTCCGCCCTTCCTGGCGGTTCGCATCGTTGGGCTTCAGGTGCGGGTAACTCGACTGCTGCCTGATGTGGTGGCGGGGCTGCGCCTGATGCCTCTCCTTGCGTTAGCTGCAGCACGACAGGCGCAGCATCTGGCGCTGCCGCGACTTCTCTGCTCATCATGAGCGCGATGACTTGGCTCATCTGCTTTTGCATGTCGGAGATGACGCCGTTTTGCTTTGCCACCAGCTGCCTCATTTCCTTGGCCGTCAGTTCAGGCTCCTCTTCCTCAATGAGTACCGCATCGCGGTTGCTGGCTTCCGCGAGTTCCGCGAACACCCTATGGGTCGTCATCGCCTTCATGGGGGTTACCTCGCCGGGTATGTTGGAGTCTTGTTCTGCCATTCGTTCGATTTCTTCCACTTTTCTTATCGGGCCCCACGGTGGGCGCCAATTGTTTGAACCTAACTGAGTGTAGGAGTGAGGTTCACAAGAACGGATCGAGAAGAATGAACAACTTGGTTAACCGAGAACTTTGAGATAAATGGAGGGAAGAATAGAGTTGAGAGAGTGTCTTTAGTGAGAGAAGTTCGTTCTTTTTCTTAGAGATAGAGAGTGGTCCAAAAATCCGATCCTCTCACCCACCGGAGTAAATGCCGTATTTATAGGCTACATGGTGGTGGGTGAGTTACATGATGGTATGATGACGTGACCACTACGGTATGGTGACATGACTACTGACATGTCAGGAACATAGACCATCCCCCTACCGGTGACAAGACCTTTAGCCATGACTATACCTAGGACTATGATGGTGACTACCATTTGGGTGACGCGGCGCCGCTCCTACGACCTCTCGGTAAGGGTCCACGTCTGTCCAAAGCGTCGTCGTTTAGCGTCCATGCGCGGTCTCCGGGGGTGGTCCTTACTCTCGCGCTTGACTCCGGCGTGACTCGCGCGTTTGACTTTGGCGTGAGTATCCTTGGGTATTTTTTCAGCGTGGTGAGATCCGAGTCACATCCCCAAGAAGTACAATATTAATAAATCTTATGCAGGGTTGCTGATTTAAGTGTTTAAACCTGGCCGGTACAAACTTTTCACAACAAATCGATGGCAGTCTGATTTCGCAATTCGATCATATCCGTAGATGCACACGAACGCAACCGAGAAGTTTATGCTTAAGCCAGTCCTACTTTATTTTTATCATGGAGGCTTAGGAGCAAAGGAAAAATGATAACCCAATCCTACTTAATTTAAAGTTTATGCTCGACCTAATCCCAATAATTCATTAATAACCATCCAGAAGTCTTCCAACATCAAGTTGCGAACAAAGATCAGACAATAGTCCTTTGTTTTAGCATATATAGCGCACAGTACTCCTTGACAACCAACCAACTACAATTATCGTCGCCTGCAAATAAGCAAGCCTGTCGCCTACGAAACCTAGTAACATGCACATGCAACTGTACCTACCCGGCGAAAAGCTTAGTGCCTACAATCACCAGGGTGGCAGTTCGGTTATTTCAGTTATAATCGGTAACCGATCGGCCGGTTATCGGTTAATCGAAATAACCACCTTCTCTATCGAATACCGACCGAAATAGGCTTCGGTTTCTCGGTTATCTTGGTTATCGGTTAACCGAACCACTTTTAAGACCAAAAACCATTTTGTCCAGCCTCCGATAACCGACCGAAGTTTGGTTATTTTGGTTACCGGTTAGTGGATAACCGGACGGTTATTGGTTTAACCGGCCAGTTAACCGGTAACCGAACGGCCACCCCTAACAATCACCATACAACTGCCAGTATGCGCCCCCTGCGTCCACTTTGAAGTAGGGGTATGCAATGGTTTGGTCTGTACCAGATCGTACCTGATTAAATTGATATTAAGATCAGACTTAGCATAATATGGTGTGATCCTTAGTACTCATTAATTTTATAATTATTGAAAAAATAATGGACCGAGCTGATATGTACACCGAACTAATTTGGACCAAATGAACCAAATATAAAGATAGTTCTTTCTACAAAAAAAAAAAAAAAAAAACAGATAGTTCGATCCTTGATCCTAAGATGTCTTTCATTAATGGACAGTGATTTTCATAGTTTGGTCCGATCCAAACCGGACCGAACCGAACATTTTCACACGCTGATGCTAGCTAAAGCTAGGGGTGGCAGTCGGTCGGTTTTGGTTTAACCGAAAATCGAAACCCGGTTATCGGTTAAATCGAGCCACCCCCTATAGCTGCCGACCACCGACCGAAGAAAGGTCACGGTTAGCCTGCCAACCGACCTATCGGTTCCGGTTTTGGCTCGGTTAGCCGGCCAACCGAAAAAATTATATTTTCAAAAAATTAAAAATTAATTAAATAAAACAAAAAAAATCTCCACCACTCCTTCCTTATCTCCTCCTCTCTCCTTCCTTCCTCCACCAGACCTCTTCTCTCTCCTTCCTTCTTCTTCTCTCACCTTCTTTCTCCATGGAAACAGATCTGCAGGGCAGGTGGGGAAAAGACACGCCGGCGCCTAGCAAGGGAGGAGGCGGCGGGCGCAGGGGAGGCGGCTGGGGGCGTCGCAGCGTGGAGGCGCAAGGGCGCAGGGGAGGCGGCGCCGCGGCGGGGCGGGTTTGTGGAGGAGGATGGTGCCGTGGAGATGGAGGGAAGAGTCGTTGATCATGGTGTGCACGTTCGTGTCGGCGTTCGCGTGGTCGTGGGGTCCGTTGGGGTGGCTGATCCCAAGCGAGACTTTCCCGCTGGAGACGCGGTCGGCAGGGCAGAGCGTCACCGTGTGCGTGAACCTGTTGTTCACTTTCGTGATCGCGCAGGCTTTCCTGTCGATGCTGTGCCATTTCAAGTTTGACATCTTCTTCTTCTTCTCCGGGTGGGTGGCGGTGATGTCGGCGTTCGTGTTTTTCTTGGTGCCGGAGACGAAGAACGTGCCGATCGAGGAGAGAAGGTTTGGGCGCAGCACTGGCTGTGGAAGAGGTTTGTGTAGGAGGATGGTGACGGGCGGCGAAGGCCAGCAGTGCTAGGGTTGGGGGGAGTTGGTGTATTTAAGAGTAGGCAAAACGACGCCGTTTCGTCTCGATCGGTTAGCGTCGGTTAGCCGGTTAACCGGCTTCGGTTTCTCGGCTAACCGCTTGACCACTAATCTCCGTCAACCGACCGTCCCTCTGTTTTTTCAGTTTCTGGTTAGCCGCTAACTGGCGGTTAACGGTTAGACCGACCGGTTAGCCGCTAACCGGCAACCGAAATGACAACCCTAGCTAAAGCCATTACAAAGCTACAGCTAGCTAGGTCGCACACATCCTGATTCATAGATAAATATAATATAATATATTATATCATATCAATCTATCTATATCTATATATATATATAAAAATGCCAACACATATATAATATCTGGATCTCTCTCTATAGATATATATTTCGATATACGTAAATATCTCTCTCTATATATAGAATCATTATACAAGTCTTGAAGAAGATGATGATGATGATGAGGAAGAAAGATATCCCTCTGTCTCTCATCTAGCTAAGTGAGCTTGGCACTGAACCAGAACTTTCCCAGCTGCTTTTAATTACTTCCCTGCTGCTGCCATGCACCATTAATTTGATCGATGGATCGATCTTCCCTTAGCGGCCCTATATATGATAACACTAGCCTTCCCTTCTCCCACACTGATCCAGCTGCAGCAGTTGTTCAACATGCACCCACAAAACAATCCCCACATCCGGGCAGTTAATTAGATGATAGCAGATATGGTAGCCAGCCAGCCCAATCGAAGCAAAAGTACAGCAGACAGTTCGTCATTTTAGCATGCATGCACATTTCATTTTATATATCCATCATGGGAGCTCATATCAGTGATCAGTCTAGTTCACATAGGTTTTGTACTGTCAACTTTTAGATCAGTGATCAGTTTAGTTCACATAGGTTTTGTACTGTCAACTATATATAAAAGTTGACCTAATTAAGAAGAACCAGTTGGGCTTACAGTTCACATGTATATCTATTCACGTCGCATAATCACCTAAGCATAAATGGGGGTCTCATGCATGCACAGTACTCTATACCATATAGTACGTACACCAGCTGCTCCAACTTGAAAGCTCTGGTTATTCACTCGGTAACATCTAGCCTAGCTCCTCAATTAGAGTTTGTTAAAGAGAAATTAGGAAGGAGAATTGCACATGAACTCTTAATCATCATCAGGACAAACATTGCCTTGTGATTTGTGAATCCTTCCTACAAAAGTCAAGTACCTGGAATAATCCAAGTAATACGTCAAAATTACAAGGAAAGGAATTCTTGTATATTAATATCCACCTAGCCCAATTAGTACGAGACATTTTGAGGAGGACATCCAAGAGTAAAACCGTACAGGCTTGGCCCCAAGCGGACAACATCGTACTAATTAAGCTATCCCGATTTCGACATAAACAATGTGCTCTTTGGTGATAAGTAGGATAATATCAATAGCATCGACATAGATGCAGACCCTGATGTCTACTCTGCTCTACAACCCTTATATATATATATATATAACAGAGGATAATTAGTCATGTTACAGAAAATCTAATTTATGGAATTTGGAGCTCTATTAAATTATTTTACTAGCTAATCAGTTATGCCTCCTACAATTTACCACTATAGTGATTCCATTATGTAAGGGAGTGGTGTATATCCAATCCATTATTAGGCTTCTCTAACTCTTGTTATTTGAATGAACCAGTTCACCACATGATATCAAAAGCTTAAATGACAGAGCATCATGTATCCGAAACCCAGTAACCCAAATCTATTTAAAAAATAAATAAATAAATAAAGAAGCCTTAATATCAACGATTGGTTTGATGCCACATATTGCAATTTCATAAAAGTATGTTTAATGCCACATCACGCCAAAATCTTGAATTGTACTTTAATTCAACCTCTGTCAAACATAATAATCTTGTCATTACTTCTCTTTTGAAACCGAGTAGCTTCAATAATTTCATGGATTATGATCAAGCTCCCTAAAAGGCAAGTACTCAATCGAATAGGCTGAAATATACATAGATAAATATGTATATAAACCTACTGTTATAACAAGGTTAATCATGATTTAAGCATAAGGTAGCTCAGTTATACTCATAATGTGTAGCAACTTTGATATCAAGTACATGATGATTTTAATAAAATAATTAGAGCTATTGAGAAAAAAATCAAAATTGAATTTACTGTATTATTTCAAATTAGATGTATTCGAACATATTTAAGTTACCTAATCTCATAGCTGTAGTCATAAAATGTTATATTTTCAATATAATGTAAATTATGTAAATGATGAGCGTACCTCGATAATTAAAGTTATTAATTGGAAGAATGTCAAAATTGAATTCTAAAGTATTATAACTCAGATGTATTCAACCCGATTTTTGCGACACCCAAATTTTAGGGATTCCTTGTCATTTATCATCTATATGGGGTAAGAAACATCCGATAGGGTCTGCTGGTTTGATTCACAACAGTTCATGTAGGAAGATGGAACTAGCTAGAAGTGATCTCCATTCTCCAGCGTACTTGTTTTTGTTATGAATGATGTAGTATTATTATTATTATTAATCAAGGTGGTGAAAGCATACAAATTCGTGCTTCTTTAGATAGGAAGAGGGGGAAAAAACTACTTAACAATGCACGAAGAACTGGCTGTAGTGACTTAACTGCACAATAAAAAAAAACCCTCATCACCCACAAAGGAGGTGACAAAAAGAAGCCCCATGACTCAACCTATACAAACATACCTAAACCCTATCCACTCTCTATAGTTTTGACCTAATTTGAACTCGACTAAGCTACTTTACTAAAAAAATATTGGTTTTTATTTGACTCGAGCTCTACTCAAGTTCGGATCATTTATGAGCTCACGAACTTTACTCGAGATCGGCTCATCAATTAGCTTGCGTGATCAACTTAAGCTAAGGTATCATATAGTCTATTTCACTGCTTTAACTATTCATATAATGTCATTTAATAATAATTAGTATCTAAATCATCTATGATACACAAATTTTCTTTTATATTATAAATGAGACATATTTGATCACGTGCTCTAATTCTTAAACATCATATGCGGTGAGATGTACAATATAATAAAGCTACGAATTATCAGTAAGTCATTGTTAAACTACTAACCGATTCACTCATTAAGTTGCTAGTTCAGGTGGTTGGCTAGCCATACTGTTGAGCTAGCTCATAGCTCAAAACGAGGTAGCTCACGAATTGAACTCAACAAACCACCAAATTGAACTGGCTTGCGAGCCTCGAGAGCCAAACAAGGTTTAGCTCAAACTCAACTTGTTAATAAACAAAGTGAGTGTCGAACGAATTTTTTCCAAACCAAATATCAAGGCAGAAGCGGTTGGACTCATTAACGGCCCTACCGGCTATTACTATGCATGGCTAAGTATATATCCATATAGGCTGAAAACCCTGAAAACCATGAGAAAAAGGCTAGCTAGCAGCTAACTGGCTCCTCAACCACTTTAATGGTGGAGTTTGGAACAGTAGTGTAAAGACACATATCCTAACAAGGGACAAAATCCTGACAGAAACAAGCCTCTTTTTCTCTTTAGAGGGTGACTCTCTACATAGATAGCATAGCACCACTACAATTACAAAGCGCATAAAAGGCTACCTGCGGCGGCATATATCGGAATCCTCATCTTATTCTTAAACTCTTGAGCATAGATTTCGACGCAGATACTCCATAGTACAACATTACAGTACCGAAACAACAATTAATTACTAACTAATTAATGTTTAGCATCCAGCTCTAGCAAACTGAACAAACGTACGAAAAGCTTAACAAAGATTTTCGTCGTGCATTTGCAGTCGTGCCAAATGGGACAACATTGAAACGTGGAGTCGAAATATGTCTCTTGTACTTAATTAAAACCACAAGGACATAATTCCACGTAATAATGTCTGTAAAGTTATAAGTAATTAAAAAATGTGTATGGGAGAGCCAAAAATCAAGATATAAAATTAACATGCAACGTTTGGGTGACATAATCACATGGCCATTGGTTCATGGGGAGCACAAAAAATCGCAGAGAATCACAAAAGAGGCCCAAGAGGGGGGAAAAAGATCGAGAGGAAGAAGGGGGAAAAGAAGGGAAAACTATAGTGATTTGCATATATTTAAATGTCGAATTAAATTAAAAGGCCACTTAATTAACAGTGTTTTAGTTGATTGAGAGAGATAATTGCTAGAGAGAGATAGACCCATTGTGTTACGAGATTAGACCCCTCGATCTCTTTAATTTGATTCGTTTTTCTAAATTAATTATACAAAATTAACCTCTATCTTCATCACCTCCATAGAAATCAGCTGCCTAGCCTTATCTATTATTTCACAACTCAAATTACTACTAGGGTTTCATGATGAGGGTTTAAATTTTTGTTTAATTTGTGTGTTATTTCATCAGCTCAAACCCAATCTTATATATTATTCTCAATAGAGATAGTGAATTTGGTCGGATTTGAACCACCGCACCGACGGTAAGCGAGATAGTGAATTTGCAAAACCAAACCAAGCCTTTAAACGATTCATGTTTAGAAAAGTCAGAGGCAAATGATTCGCATGTCTCATATACATATGTTTGGTGGTTCATTGAGTTTGAGTGTATGTATATATATAATTAGTACATGTGCATAATAAATAATTGAGTATGTAGGCAGCTAGCTAGCCATCAAAGAGGGAAAATTAATAATAATAATAATAATAAATGGATTATATATATATATAATTAGTGTACCTCGCAATCACAGCGGCAGCGGGTGATTAGCCGCCGTCTTGTTAGAGTCTCCCGGCAGCGGCAGCTTGGCGTTGGCGGCAAGTTGCTTAATCTTCTTCTTCTTCTTCTTGTAGGGGATCCCGCGGGCCTTGGCCTGGGTCTCCCTGACCTCCCTGAGGTAGAGGCGGATGGCGCCGTTGCCGAAGGGGTTGGTGTCGGGGGAGCCGCCGTGCTCCTCGTAGGCGGCACGGAGGCGGCCTATGAGGGCGTCGAGGCTGCCCCAGGCCTGGCGGAGCGGGCAGGTGCAGGGTGCGGGGGGGTCGGGCTGCCCGAAGAAGACGCAGCCGGTGAGGTGGACTTTGGTCTTGCCGAACTGGTCGAGGTAGCGTAGGAACTCCAGCACGTGGTTGCAGTTGCAATGGGAGAGGGACACGGGCGGCCTCTGGTTCTTCAGGTACTGCCCGAAAGTGTTCCAGTCCCTCCTCTTCTGGGATTCGTACCGGCTCAGCGGCGCCTGCTGCTGCTGGGACGATCGGGACGACCCCTCCGCCGCCGACGACGACATGGGAGAGGGTATTTTTGGTGAGGCAGAAAGAGAGTGGAGTGTGGAAAAGGAAAATGAAAGACAAGTGAAGTGAAGTGAAGAATTTTGGGGGAGGGGGAAATAAGAGAGGTGGAGGAAAGGAAAGGAAAAATCGCAATCGATTGGGTCGTTTTGGTCTAACTGAGGGGACATGTAATGGGGACCTCCTTATTACGTTGCTTTTTTGTTTTTCCCACTCTCTTTTTCCTTGCCTCTCCCTTTCCAAATTGCGTCTTAATTTCCCCCCCACTTTTTCTTTTTTTGTTTTTGTTTTTCTGGACTTATTAATTATTTTCAGCTGTTGCATCATTAGTTTTGGATAACTCGTTTTGAGATAGTAATTAATTCCAATAACACTGTGTAATAAGCTGGTGTGAGTGATACATGTTCACCATTTCAGAGTGCGGGACACTTTTTATATTACAAGATAAAGCATAGTTTATCTTAATTAGTCTCGTTAACTCAGATAATTAGCAATTAAAACCTAATAAAATCATTTTATGATGTGTTTTTTTTTTTAAGAATGGTGCATTATGTTAAGTAAACTATTGACATGGTAATCTTCAATATGTACGATAAATATCTTGTATTTTTCCAATTCAAAAGACTTAGAAATTATGTAAAGAAAACAAAAGTATTTTTATTTTACCATCTTTAATTTTATTGGAAACCCTTGTCAGTGTAATCTAAAACGATATTGAAGACACAAGATTTGATTGTACAAATTCTTGGCGCATAAGTGACACAATAAACTGCGAGCGACTATTGAGATAAGTGCCTCTTATTAAAATTGTGATTTGTTTTCGCTTCATTCTTATATATCTCTTTCCACAAAATATAAAATCAGTTATATTTTCGAACAACGTTTGCCATAAAGTACCTCAAATAATTTCATAGAGTACACCATAAAAATATTTTCGAACAACGTTTGCCATCAAGTTTTTCTTAGGCTAGTGTTGTTTCTATTTTCACTTGAAAACAATTACTATTATTTATTATGGATCATTTGCAAAAGAAAGTGAATTATGACAAATCGGTACAATCACAACCATATTATTATTCAAATTGGAATAATGAATTATGACAAATCGGTCGATCATCTCATCTCATCGCTGCATAAAAATCCATGGCCTCGTGATGATGAACTACTACTGATGATTCGCCAGCTGATCCATCCGTCGGTGCAACTTGCAGTGAGTCGACTCGTGACTCGGTCTCCGTGTTCTGATTGTATCATTATTGGTGTGTAAATGAAGCTATATATGGGGCTGGGTTGCCTTGCCGATATAATATCATGATGGGTAAGGCTGACAAACTGAGGGGGGGAAAAAAGAGTATATATGCCTTATGTTTTCGGTCGACTTATGTTTTCAGTTTAGCTGTTTGGATTTGATTCATTATATATGCGATTCTTTCATCATTGTGCCGCTAATTTCTTTTTCTACTAGTTTGGATGTCAATTTCAATCTGATTAGTGGACTCAACCTATTTTAACGTATGATCTTGTATGAACTTGTTTATACGTTGATTCATTCTATTTGTTATATGTGTTATCTAACTTTTATGTTACTATATAAATTTCTGTTGCTAAATATTGTTGAGCTCTAATAGAGTTTATGAAGGGCTCATTTGAAAAATTCGAGTCTCAATCGTTGGTTAATAATCTAAAGATTCTAACTCTCTAGATTGGTGAAAAATGATTTTAAAAATTCAATGTTAGGTAAGTATGTTTTTCCACTTAAATAGGGGAAAAAACTCACAAATAAGTATATAGAATTTATATATTTATGAGAGATTTGATATCTCCATATGTTATACTTGAAATATTTGAACCTAAAATCTCTTATATAAAAAATGGCAAAAAATTACATAAATTTCTATTGATTCTACAAATCCACACTTCACATCTTATTCTTTTTTTTTTTTAGTGAATTCACATCTTATTCTTCAAATGAGCACTAAATAAAATTCTTATAAGTAATCTCGCTATATCCATTTATTTTATAACATATTATTTGTCAATTTATTCAAACAAATTTATATATACCGATTTGTATCTCAAGTCTAATTATTTTATCTGACCTATTTAATATCATGTCAGTATGAATATTGAGTTACCTACCAAAATATAGCAAAGATTAGGGTGCTCATAACCAATTTCTTAGCATGATCCTAACACTAGTTTCAGTCATTTTGATTACTTTTTTTTTATTCAAAAGTTGGCCACAATTAATATGGATTTATAAAGGGAGTGGTACGCTTGTAATTATTAAAAATTAGGGGGACACACATCCCTGACAATAGTTCATTACTTTTGCGTCTCGCGCCTCACCACAAATATTATGAAACAAACTAAAAACACAACAAACCACACCAAAAGCACAATAAAGCATACCAGAAAGCTTATTAAGCAGACTATAACCTCGCTACACCAAAAAATTCATCAAGGATGCTAGAAAACTCAAAGCAGAACACAAGTTCCCTGAAGCATAATAGAAACCCCATAAAGATGGCCACAAGTTTATTAAAGCTGACCACAAGTTTCTTAAAGCTAACCACAAATTTCTAAAAGCATACGACAAGTTCCCTGATGCATACCAGAAACCTCATAAAGTATAAGTTTATTAAAGCAGACCACAAGTTTCTTAATGCATACCACAAGTTTGTTGAAGCAAAACACAAATTTCTCGAGGCATGCTCGAAACCTTATAACCAGACAACACGTTTCTTAAATAGTACTGGAAGCCTCATAAAGAAAACCATAAGTTTCTTAACATAGACAAGAAAAACTTAAAAGAAGATAAAAAGTTTCTTAAAGCAGACAAGAAATCTCATAAACTTGGATCTATTTGTAATTATTAAAAATGTGTGTATCATAATGTAATATATTAAATTTTAGGTACTAAAATATAATTTTTCATCAATATTTTAGACTTATATGAAAATAATAATTTTAGATACTAAATAAGAAAAGCCTTGAAGTTTTGATACCAAACTATAATTTGTAATTGAACATAAAAGCTAAAAACGAAAGAGAAAAGGAAGATACTGCTATGAATAGGTAATTACTATTGTAATTGAGAATGAATTAACTTTTATCACCCTATACGGTGCCAAAAATATACCCATCGCGCATTGCCATATTAATAATTTAAATAGGATGTTGGGAGGTCAAAATTGATAAGATATATATCACTCTCATAGCTTGATACGTATCTTCTGTTCATCAGCACTAATAAAGTAATTAACAACTAATGACCAATAATAATAGTACTCTGAGAGGGGAGTGGGGAATGGAATTTGAGTGCAACCGAGTTGATGGGCTGCTTAATTATTTTAATAATCTATCCTTTTCTATTATTTGTCATTTGGTGGGTGATTTCCCCCCTTGTTGATGCGTCCTTGATTTTCCCGGGTCCAGATCGGGTCAGTAACTGATGGCTCAGTAACCCATCAGTAATCCCTTCTATGGTCCCCACGTGTCAGACACTTTTTTATTTAAATTAAATGTGAAAAGGGCAATACAGTAAAATTGCACTTTCTCCTATGTATTGCTGAGACCGACTTTTGACCGTACCACATCAGCGCCTCCTTCTCTCTCCTCGCAAAACATTTAATTTTCCTTCCCTTAATCTTTAACGGATGATTTCTCACTCGTTTTAAGTCGAAATTTAATTTTTTTGCACAGTTAGATCAGATTAATTGTGCTCTTCAAAATGATATCCACTTTGATATTTTTTGGACACAAAAAAATTTGTCAGTTATTACCAGTCTATACCATATGGTATTGACTGTACCATATGGTATTGACTGGTATTAAATAAGAGCATATCATATGGTATGAAATTTTTTGCCACATGAATATATATTTCGTTACTACCATATGGTATAGTGTGGTAATATCAATATATATTTTGTTAGCACCCAATACCATATTATATAGTGTGGTAATATCAATATATATTTCGTTACCACCCAATACCATATGGTATAGAGTAGTAATACCATATGGTATAGAGTGGTAATACTAATATATATTTCGTTACCACCCAATACCATATGGTATAGTGTAGTAATATCAATATATATTTCGTTACCACCCAATACCATATGGTATAGAGTGGTAATACCAATATATATTTCGTTACCACCCAATACCATATGGTATAGTGTAGTAATATCAATATATATTTCGTTACCACCCAATACCATATGGTATAGTGTGGTAATACCATATGGTATAGAGTGGTAATACCAATATATATTTCGTTACCACATAATATCATATGGTATAGTGTGGTAATACCAATATATATTATCTAAAAGAAAGGGGAAAAAACAAAAGGAGGGAGAGAAAAAAAAACTTGTCTTCTGTCTCATCTCATTTCATCCGCAACCAAAGAACACCAAACGCCAAAAAAGGAGAAAGATCGAAATTAAAGCCAACGAGTTGATGAAGAGAAGAAACGCAATTAAAGAGGGTGACTTCAATTTTTATTAGTCGATTGCTAGAGAAAAAAATAAAGATGGAAGAGAGCATATCTAGATTTGGAAAGGAGATTGTGAGAGAAAAAGTAAGAGAAGAAATTGAGAAAGGATCTGGAAAGAGATTGGAAAAAGGAAGAGAGAAGGAAGAGAGAAAGAAGTAAATAGAGTTGCAGAGAAAATGTTATTCTTTCTCTTTCATTGAAAAGTCAGACATTGAAATTGCGGAATAAAAAGTAAAAAATACAAAAACGGACAAAAATGCCCCTCCCCACCTCTGCGTCCAGCCAACCACCCGATTGCTCCATCCCCAGATCTACGGTTTCCGTGTATTTACTGATGGGTCAGTAATCATTGGTTACTGACCCTATCCCAAACCGATTTTCCCCTCCCCCACCCTTATTTTTTTTACTAAAAGATCAAATTTTACTTAACCACATTACTCATTGTTTCCCTAAAATTACCAAACCTTACAAACGGGTTTTCAGGGAGTAGGTTTGTAAGCACTTCCATGTTTAAGTTAGATCATAGAGAAGTTTTAATTAATGAATATATAATGAGTAACAAATTGAAATTATATCTTTAAAGTTATGTTACAAATTGTACATGTATTTTATCGTACAAGTTTTAGTATGGTATAAATTAAATTTGTACTTTCAATGTTATACTTTTATTTTTTCGTACAAAATCATTTAGATTCAAACTGAACTTATACATTTAACGTCATGGTACAAATTCAACTTATACCTAAAAGCACCGGTAAAGTTTTAGAGCATTACTTGTTGTTATGTAGGATTGAGATATTTATAAGGACGATACTATTGGTACATGGAACATTTAATGTCAACGCCTGTGTTATATTTGGTACATGAGCGCATATTTGTATCAGAGCCTCTTGGACTCTTTATGTATAGAATTTGAAAGTCTTAACTAGAGTTACACATACGAGTGAACTATTTTATCCATTTATCATGTAAGCTGTATACAAAGCATAATAAGGCGCAACCTAACCTTTTAAGTCAATTAACAAATACGATTGTGTTATGTCGAAGTGAAAAACGTGACACTAAATCATGTATATTAACCAGAAGGAAGTATGATACATTGCTCAAACTTTTATTCTTAACCAGAAACTTTATGTGATATTTTGTCATAGATAATTTTCGTATTTCTTATCAACATCTTACGCTACCTTTTATTGTTTTCCTCAGGTGGTGACAAATAAAGAAGAAACTGGATCATTGCATCCTAGGCAATCCAAAGTCCAAACTAAGGCGATGAGTAGCATACTAGGATAACCCACTTTTAATATGATATGGAGTACTCATCAATTTGAAAGGGAAAGCTAATTTTGCCCAAGAAACAAGAAGAGAGCCAAAGCCCAGATTTTTCGCTTTCCCCTATACCAAGGGTATGGAAGGGTCCATTGCGTTATGGATCAGACCAAACTATGAGAACTGCAATCCAACAATTGAGAAATTTTTGGATCAAAATTTATTAAATCATCATTGTATTTGATCTGGTTTGATTCAGGTCAAATATCACTTCTGTATATTTTTGTTCATTATTTATAAAATATACGTGATCAACTATTGAATTGCATTATATTCCATTCTCTATGTTCCAATTTAAATGTCAGTTTGATCCAATACAACCTGATGGTGACGTGACTTGAATCGGATTATCAGCCGCTACGACTTGAAGTTACGAGGGTCTCGCGTATGGGTTGATACAAGTTTGGGTTGTCAGTTTTGGGCATGGTCTGTAATCGTTTTCCTTTACCAGATTGGATTAGGTTTTAGACCCACATGGAGAAGTATAAATACTTCTCATCTCCTCTGTAATCTGTAATCTCCTCGAAGTATAGTGAAACTGGCTCTCTCCTATCCATGGACTATCTAACACGCATCGTTTTAGTGAACCACGTAAATCGCGTGTCGTGTATCTGTTTTCGATTCTCGCTTTCATATTCTTATTTTCTTGATTCCGGCAATTTCTCGATCCATAGCAGCACAGATAACACCTGGTATGTGGACCAAACCGCAGGACACCCCCTATCCTATACTTAGATTTATATGGTGCCAACATGTTCATGAAACCTCCCTTTATATATTCAGCTAGCTAGGCTGAGTGAATAATTAGCTACTAATGGGTCAGGCTGCTCAAACCCACCACCACATAACCCTAAAACCCTTTCTCTAGGCGAAATAATTGGTAGTTAGTGGAATTGGGATTAAAATATTTCGGCCACTAATCTGTGGTTAAGATTAATCAAAGAGAGATTTAAGCAAATCAGGGCCCCTAGAGTGAGTGCAAGAATCCAAGACCATACAAATATAAAGCTGCCCTCCATATAAATGCGGTACTACTGTATATATATAATATTTTAATCTTTCAAAAGGACGTGTGAATAGTCAACTCCAAATCTTGCTAATTTTTTAAGCTAGGCTATACAGATATGTGGACTGTGGTACTGTTGTATAATTGCTCTACTACAGTAGGGTTAAGAGAGAAAGAAAGAAAAAGGAGATGCAGCAGTAAAAGATTTCCATATTGGGGAAAAGAAAAGGGAGGGAGAATAATTCCTTTTGGAATGACTGCAAAAAATTTGTAACCCAAAGAATGAAAATAGGCACCAGAGATTGAATTGATGAAGAGATCAGAGAGATGGGTCCGACGAATGAGAAAAATGGTGTCTTTACATGAATCGTCCGTCATAATAATTGTTGCCTGCGCGCTTGCTTGGGGGAACAATGTTATTGTATATGTTGTCTTTACATGTTGTACCCACAAACGCTAGCTAGCTCCCCACCACCACCACTACCCAAAGCCTGCCTTAGCTATATATGAGCTCCTCTTGCTTCACAATATTGGGTGGCCTCCTCCTGATTGAATATAATAATTTAGAGTGACGAGGTTTTTTTTTATTTTTACATCAAACATCATTTGTTTCATTCCAAATCCAAACAAGGGAAGCTTAACAATTACAATAATGGAGCGACAAGGTCAGCAATGACAATCCATTTGGGAGGGAGGAGATCAAGACGAGAGTTCTTTGCGATCCAATCAGCGAGCTTATTGAATTGTCAGGGAACAAACTCAATCGAGATCCAAGGAGAAGCACAGAGAATGGAAACCACTCGGGCAAGGGTTGCCCAACACTACCAAGGCCAAAGGCTCGGATCCTGTCTCAACGCATTCGTCAACCTCTGACAGTCAGATCTGATACACGTTGGGACTGGATCCTGGAACGCCCCGATAACTGCATTAAGAATCGCAACATCTTCCGCTTGTAACGGAGAAGAACAAAATAATCTCTCAGCCTTCCCATCGATAACCTGACCGTGGGAGTTTGCAATAGCAATCCCATAAGCCGCCATCTGTGCATTAGAAACTAAGGAACCATCACAATGGACAACCTTACTGAAAGGACCAGGCGGTGATAAGGTCGACGACCGAGAACTCCTTGACCGAGAAGGCAATCCAGCTGAACTAGAAGAGGAGAAAGCTGGGGAAAGTATCCTAGCTTCCTGAACGTTTCCGACATCTCGTTTAGCTAAAATTGCAATAGAGGGCGGAGAGAACGCCCTTCCTTCAAAGACCCAACCATCGCCTTTTCCCACCATTTTGCAGGCCATCTCGAAATACTGTTGGCGAGATCCTAAGTTCTTCCCCACCATCGTTTTTTCAATGCCGCTACCACGAGATTTTTTTTATTCGGATGTGTTTAATTTTCTTTAGTGTTTTATTTCTTTCTTTTCTTCCTTTTTGTTGTGTAACCCAAACACATGTGTATCCTATCTTGAACATTAATCATTATCTTTGTCCATCATTTTGCAGCCCATCTCGAAATACTGTCGGCGGAATTCAAAGTTGTTCCCCACCACCGTTTCCTGAGGCCGCTACCACGAGTTTTGTATCTGAACTGAGTTTCATCCTCTTTAGTATTTTTTTTCCTTTTTTTTGAGCATGATCACAATTGAACCCAAGTTGAACACATTGTTGACCAGTTTTAGATCGAAAGCGAGTTTTGTATGCTTTAATGTTTTTTTTATTTCTCATTTTCCTTTTCGTTGAGAATGACAATTGAACTGTGACCCATTGTTGACGCGTTGCGTATCGAGAGAGAGTTTTATCTGCTTTTGTAATTGACAGGTTGAGTAAATTGTAAATTTATTAAAACTTGGTCGACCCGGTCAATGCGAGTTGAACCCAGTGTTGAGAGTTTGGGGTCATGAGCGAATTTTATCCTCTTTAATATTTTTTTTTTTGTTATCTTTTTCATTTTGGTTGAGAATGACAACTGAGTCCAAAAGCATGGGTATACAACCTAATTCTATCTGACCAAAGCGTCTTGAACCCGATTTTATAGGTTTTTGGTGGGAGAGAGTTTTATCCGTTTTTGTAATTGGCATGTCAGGTGTGAATTTGTCCAAAACTCAGCCCAATCAAGTCAAAGCGTGTTTTAGCTTTAGTATTTTTCATTTCGCTTTTTCTTTTGTTTGAGAAAGACAATTGAACCCAAATTCATGGGCATCCAACCTAATTTGACTCGATCAATGCGAGTCAAACCTCCTAAAACCTGCACTCAGTCCAAAAATTTCACAAAGGAGAACCAGGATTACCTCCAACAAAAAAAAAAAAAAAGCCAAAAGAGTACGAGTAAGTTTGCCCCAAATTTTAGAATTTTTATGTTTCAAAAGTTGAAGCCAAGCCAACCACCTCTAAAGGTTCGCTTTTTAGAAAAGTGAAAATTTTCGTAACTTAAATGCAGAAGCTCAGATTTGAAAATACAAAATTGTCGTTACCATATATTATTCTGTTTCTAGAAAACATAATTTTCATTCATTTATATCATTATAAAAAATAAATTGAAAAGTATTATTATTTAATATGAAATAAATCTAATGTGATCCATTTTAAATACTTTTTATTTTTATTTTTAGAATTTGTATTCATATTTTATGTTAGAAATCTTTTTTAGTCATTTTTCATTACCTCTTATATTAGAAAGTAATTTTGATAGTTTTTAGCTAAACATTCAACAGTTTTTTTTAAATACTTCTTGAAATGATCCAGAGAAGCTGCTTCATTCTGCAAAAGTTCATTCTGCAAAAGTCACACAATGATAACTTCCAAAGTACACATTACTACTACATATTACTTCCAAAGTACACTTCAACAAAGATAAAATTCCAACTAAATTCATAATATTGAACTTTGGCTTTCTTCTGCATCACCAACAAGGCAACAACTCATCATTATCCTGTTACAAAGCCAACCAAAACATATAGAAATCATCTTTCCCACTCCATGTACAGCTCAAAATCAAATTATAGAATCTATATTATTATATGATATGATATACTCACTTGGTGCATCGGTTTGTAGTTAGAGGGGACTTTCTGTCTCTTTTCTAGAGCTGGAAAAATAACAAGAAAACAATCTCAAAGGGTTGAACACCCAACTAGTTAGTGGGCAGATTGATGATTATGGTTCAAGGAAAATATTATTATAAAAAAAAAGTAGAGCAAGTTGAGGAGATCCAGATGAAAGCAACACCCAACCTGCTTGACTGAGAATTGCACTAAATTGGACTGGAATGTCAAAGGGAATAGGAATACTGTCACATTCTCAACCTGTTTACTTACCTTTTGCCAGCCACGTGTAGCACTTTGGCTTGATGAAGATGGTGCACGAAACGAACCCTCCATTGACCCTTCTCCATATGAAGATGTTGCAAGAACAGTGTCTTCAGTGTGTCTACTTCCATTTACAGCTGATCCATCCCACTTCTCAGTTCAACTACCTCACTTTCCGTTTCCACCAGTTCATTTCTCATTTCAATCACTTCACTTCTTAGAGAGACTACCTCACTTTCTGTGTAATCTAGTACTGTGGTAGACAACTAAACAGTTAAAAGAAGAAAACAGCTCAAATTATTAATTAAGCTAAAGCATAATTGTTTCTTAACTCAAGCAGAGAAGGTTAAACAGCAAAAGCCAACTAATATCATCTCATTGAATTCAAAATTAATCAAATTGATGGAGACAACTAAACAGCTAAAGACAACTAAACCGGCTAAGTGGAGACATAAAAGACTTGAACTTGAATCCACAATGAAAACCAACCAGCAGCAGAGCACCAGGACAATAGAAGGATCTCCAATCCCCATCATTGTTTAATCCTTCTTGCTGGTTTATTGCTTGCATTGGAAATGGAATTGTAAATAATTGAGCTCCAACCACACACAGGTACGGCAGTAAGGTGTTCTTGTGTGTATGTCCTTCTTCAGCTCTAGGAGGATTTACTATTCAGTAATGGTGCCCCCACGGATGCACTCATTGCAACCGTCTACCCTGGCCAGTGGCCAGCCACCAATGTCTTAAATGCCCTCCACATGCCCAACCACCTCTCTACCTTCTTTCCTCTTCGAATCACCTCAGAAGAAACAGAAGAGTTCATTAACTTTGCCTTGCCAACTAGTTCATGCAATGTTCCATTGATAAATCAGAAATGTTTGTTGCTATCTGTCATTACTGGTTAAACTCGGTAGTAGGTGTTCTGTTACGTCAACCTAAGGGGGCTGTGTCTTATGAAATGGGATCTTACCTTTTCTTGCAGAACTTAATATTGAAATAACCCATAAGGCAAAAGCATAGAATTGAAATAAGAATAGCCCTAGCAATATTCATTATAGACAAGATGGATCCATGAACAGATTAGCAGTGGCACTAAGTAACTTCATTAGCAAAAACCTATATGTGTATTCTCTCTTAAAGTTTGAACAGAAGTCCAAACAAACTTGTTTTCTAGCCTGGTAGTAAGGTTCGCGAGCACTGTGGCGCTAAGTAAACCAACACTATACACCTGAAAAATCCCAAGTCTGAAGTTGAGCTTGCAATCCACTACGACAATACGGCTAACCAGACCTCCTATGAACTCTAAACTAAGAAACCATAAACAAAAGCAAAAGCAAATTTCAAGGAATTAAAAGCCTGAGAATCGGAACCATAAACTAAGGGAGGTAAATACGAACCTCAGGGAGACAAAAGTGAGTACTATGAGGTGCTTTCTGCAAAAGGAGCAAGGATATCAGTGATGAGAACTCATTGAAACTTTCACTTTAGTGACAGAGTTACAATTGAGACCATAACAGAGTTATAATTGCACCAGAAAGGAACTGTAGCAGCAGGGAAATAAAATCCAATTGCTTTGACAACCAAGAAAGTAAGCAGCTATAATTGTGAAATCAGACATTGTCCATAAAGAAATCACGAAACCATTGTAATTGTCATTTCAAAATGTAGCAAACGGAAGCCTGCTGCAAAATAATTACAGACAGCACAGCATAGAAAGCAATTTAAATGAACAGGAAACACGGATCCAAGAACTAACCAATTACTCTCTGGCTCTGTAATCTGCAGAGTGTTTGCTCCGAACTCGGCCGGGATCAGAGGAGATGAGACATCGAAAACACGTAGAGGCGGAGGAAAAATCAGGGCTCATCAACAACTCACTGGAGAAAAGTGAACCTAAAACACAAAGAAACAGATAGAAGAACACAAAGAGAGAACTTGACTACATAATAGCATCAGGGATCTTGCAGATTTCCATAGTCCCTGTTTTTTTTACCACCAATCCAAATCTCCGGGTCCAAACAAAATCCCAAGTCTAAAGTTGAGCTTGAAGTCCCCTACTACAATACGGCTAACCAGACCTCCTATGAACTAATAAATCAGTCAAATACCCTCCTAAGTAAAGAGATAGAGCTCGATTCTCTGGATGGAAAAGAATCACATATGCTTCCATGCTTTGAACCTATCTATTATTAGTGAGAGGAGAGAATTACTAAAAGAGGAAGAGGAATGGACTCACGCAAGGCGACAAAATCACAGACGGACGGCTGCTGTTGATTTCAGGATGGATTGCCAGAGATTCGCGAAGTGAATCGATTGAAGGAAAGGAGAACGAAATATAAATCTCGCCGCTATCCACTTCACCCTAATTCAGAATCTAAAGTTGCAGCAATCCATATGCACAATCAAATCTCGGAATTAATAACTGAATGAGATCCAAAATTAGGTCAGAGAGATTACCAGAAGAAGCTCGAGAGAATGTGGTAGCGATGTAGGTTAAGAGCAGCAATAAAAGCTTCACGGTTCACGGAGAAGACGTACGACCGCCGGAATTCAAGATCGACGGGGAAGATGTAGGACCGTCGGAGTGGAAGACAGACGACTGAAGGCGAAATCTCTGGCCAGGAGGAGAGCTCTTCCTCATTCAATTTTTTTCCCCCAATGATAAAAAGCTCCCGATATCGTCCGAATAAAAGGAACTTATTTGGAAACACGTAGTTGGAATTAAGCTGGGGTTATAAAAACCGCTGTACAGTTTTGCTGCCAAAAGTTTTAAACCCAAAGCCCTGAAGCGGTTAAGGAAACCGCTGAAAAGAAACCCCTGGGCTTGGCCCATTTTGTTGTAGTGTTACTAATTTAATTTAGATTTTGAAGGCGAGGGGTTAATAGAGCCTTTATCCTACAACTTTCTAATGTTTTCTCAAATAGTAAATTGAGAGGGATTGTAATCACTCATGAGCTACATGTACCTCAATTACTATATATAACAGATGGGTATAATTACAGTGGTGAAATTAGAATTTAGAGTGAAAAGAGGTTGAAAATAACAAATGGCAACAGTTCCCCACAATGTTAACTTAGATCTTGAAGGCAAGGGGCTATGGCATTCATCCTACAACTTTCTAATGTTTTCTCAAAGGTACGCATTATAATATAAAATAATAAATTGAGAGAGTTTGTAATCACTCCTGGACTACATGTACCTCCATCACTAATTGATGGTTGTTTGGGTTGGCTGACTCCCCAACTCCACAAGTTTCAACTTTTAGAAGCTGATCAATACTCATCTCAAACTTAATTATGCTGAACTATCAAATTTCATATATACTTTACTTAAAAGGACAAGTGACCACTAAAATACATAGATGTGGGAAACTTCGAATCAAAATCCTCGTTCTCTTTCATTCTCACACACCTAATCCTAATACCACCACCACTAAGAACAAAAAACAATACTAACCAAGCTTATAACCAACCCTTTTGTCATTATAAATAACGATAAATATTAATAGGACGGATAATGAGCCAATGGTGATAACTAATGTATTGTCGAAGCCAAGCCGCACTAAAATTTGCCATTGAAGTCCATGTTGATAAATGTTAGTGTTATGTAAAGATCCTTGGACAAGGACGAGCAAGAAGCGAGGAGGGAAGAAAGTTGGGGCGATAGTTGAAGTAAAATGACTATAGGGGAAG